TTCTCTTCCCCTCCCCACCCCCCGACATTTTGTCTCTGCTCGCCCTTGAATCCCTTCTAGCTGCTCTTCACTCGGCAGCACTCCACTCCCCCTACCCCTCTCTGTCTCTCCTCCCTGGCTCCTCCCCCCCTCTCTTGCCTATATAGCCACTTGTTACAGCAGCCCTTTTGCTCACTTCAGCAATTGTTTCTTGCTGTGGTTGTCCCACCTGATGACGGACGCTTGTGTTGCGCCCGAAACGTCGTGATTTAATTTATTTTATTTTATACCCACGTGACTTTACCGAAAGAACCCAAGAGTATGGATCCTTGCAGTCACGAAAACTTCAAATATAGATTAAATACGCCTCTGTTAGAACATTTCCTGCTTTGGAATCGTAGCTTGAATCTTGACTTGAATAGGAGGCAGCTCACACGTGCAGTTTGCTTGATGCGATCTGCGGAGTCTGCACCCCCCCCCCTCCGTTTTAAATGATCGAATGACAGGGAGGTCATGACTGGACAAGGTGTATCACAGGTAGTGGGTGTCATTCACACAATAGCAAGCCTTCCTGTTATCATCTCTAGTCGGCGGTGGGAACCCAATCATGGCGAGAGATCGCGTGGACACATCTCCAACCATTCAATCAACGACCACCATGACAATTAAAGCCTCATGGTCGTTCATCGGGGCAGTGCCAGATTAAACGTGCGGGGGCCTGCTGCATATGTTATGAAGGGGCCCTAAATAAAAACATAAATATTAAAACACTAATTTTTTACTTTCATAGTAAAGTAGTTATATTTTTTCCATTTGCTATACAGCCAGATAATACGACAAATCGCTAACATTAAACACCCTGTCGTTCATAAAAGTTGAAGGCAGTATAGTACTATGGTAAAAGCGCAGAATCACTGTCTCAGCAGTCTGCCTGCTGTATTTTTCACCTGAAGTCGATTGCTTGTGCTGCAATTGAAACGTAATTATTGATTTTTTTTATATCTACCTGACTTTACCGAAAGACCCAAAGAGTACGGAAAGTGCTGGGCCCGTAGCATATGTAGCTACTTTTGCTGCTAGGATAATCGAGCACTGCATCGGGGGGTTTAACCATACTTCACCACGCTGGTCAGTGCAGGTTTGTGAAGTCCGGGAGGAAGACCAGTGTTGATATCGTGTGTGAGTGACGTCAGCCTTGACCTAGAATTGCAAACTCGGTTAGCCGAGTCCACAGCCAACCACTGCGCCGCCGCTGCATCCGAGGCCGTGTAGCAAATGCCAACGATTCCCCGTCTGGTCTGTAACAGACTGTTGGGGCAAGTGCTGTCAGTAAGCACCTCTGAAGGCCGGCACAGCGCACGAGGGGGTGTGGGTGGCCAGCACGCCACACTCGTAGACAACAGGGACCAGATCTCCCCGGGGGTGTTCATGGGACGTTTACCTCCATGCGGCCACGAGCTCATGGGGCCTGGTGCATGATCGGCCCATCGTGGATTGCACGGCGTACACAGAGGGGCAAACAGGAAGTTCTGAGGACCGCTTTATTTAACGAAGCCTGTCATGGTCAGCATTCGTTATGGTGTCCGCGAGCCTTTTCCTGCCGATGTCAGGAAGTTGCGGCGGAGGCTGCTGTGGTGGTGGCGTTGGGGTTTCGGTGGTGAACAGAATTAATCGGCCCAATCTCTCGTCTTGGAAGGTGCCGCAACAACTCGGCCACCGTGCCGTGTTGAACCGGCAGTTCCACTCTCTGCCGACGACATTGCTCCACGGTTCGGTGATTAGGGGATTGCAACAACAAAAAATCCCTCATGTTGTAACCACCCGACAAACGATGTTTAAGGATGTCGCAAGCACTTCCTATGCGGTCTCGTAAATCGCGTGGGGTCACGGCTGACCACCCATGATGCAGCACGCAGAACCAGAATGTCCAGTTCTGCTTCTCGCCTTTATTCAAACAAAGTGAGCCCCGACTCTTTAAGCCTATCATCATCATCGCCGCCGCCTTCGCCTGAGACTTTGCTGCTCGAAGCAGCTTTCCGCGGTTGTTGAGCCCTGGCGAAACCGCCCAGGGTTCCCAACACCTGTGGAGGTCCACGCGCGCTCTCAAAGTTCCACGGTCGCTGACCACACACACGGATTCAGCAGAGACTTCGTTCGTTGCCATTGATTTTCATACTCCCGAGACCAGAGCAAAAAAATCACCCTAGCGCTCAGGCCCGGGTGCGAGTTGCGTGCGAGTGTTATGGTGCACTGCGTGTTTGTTATGGGGGAGCGGTGGCGGCGCGGTTAACGCGCTGCGCTGTGAACCCGGCGACCCGAGTTCGATCCCCGCTCACAGCCAACACCGGTGACGATTATATGAATCGGTGCTGGGCCTCCCCTCGGTCGACTCAGCCTCAAATGAGTACCTGGTGTGTAAACATCGCCACTGGGGAGACAAGGTGGTGTTTACCCCTTCGTGTGCTGTGCCTGCCTTCATAGGTGCTCGCTAACAGCACTTACCCCAACAGTCTGTTAGGGTTTTTCGAGGGGTTTTTGTATGTATGTTGAAATTCTTTCGCACCGTACACAGCCAACCGCAAGGCTCAAAGAACAGAGACAAATCAAATCACGGCCCCCAGATCGTGATGTGTTCAGTTGAGGATATATTTACTCGTCAGTTTTGATGTCTGCCCATTGTTCATGTGAGAGAGAGATATATATCGTGCCAATAGATAACTTACAACAAAAACAACAAAAATCCTGTTCTTAAAATGTCACAAAACCGACGTAAAAAAACCAGAACACAGATTTTTATACAAATCTTTGCTCAGCATTTTTGTAATGCGAGAAATGTGAACAAATTCCTCCAGCGTGAACAGTGTACAGTGCAGTGGACCTCTTTATATGTGGCGACTCTTTAGGGCCAGAGGCCTTTCCGGCTATGCTTCGAGTATTTCGATTTTTGTTTGTGAAACCCAACCTAGTCGTTTTCAGGGAGCCTTTCTTGCATACCCAGAATTGTGGCTTACTGGAGTCCAGCTTCCGGGAGGCTTGACCATGCGTTGTATGTACGTTGAAACTTATTTCGCATCGCACGTAACCTACCGTGCTAATCGGAGGCGGTGCGGGAGAAGGACAACTCACTAAACACACGCAAAAAATTGAGAGACTATGCGAGGGTTGCCGGTAACTATGGTGTCCATTGCCACGGTGGCGAGATGTTAACTCCCTCGCTTGCCGTGGGTTCAATCCTGACCCTGACGCCTGTATATTTGGAGTTTGCGTGTCTCTCTCCCTGTGGTCGCATGGATTTTTTTCCGGGTCCTCCGGGTTTTCCCTCCACGTTTAGAATCAAGATCACGCTTTTCGAGTGTTTGACTGCGATACATTATCACATGATAAGCCACTTCGTCGAACTATCATTTGTGATAGCTAGGTCGCTTCTGAAACAGAGCTACACAGCTAAATGGGCCTTACCTGGTAAAATAAAAAAATAGTTTGTAGGTTTATAGTCCTGACGCTAGGGTGATTGGTGTGGAGTCAACCACCGTTCATAATTTACGATACAGTTTCAGCTGAGGCCATGTAAACAACTACGACCTTCTCACCCCCCCACACAGCCGAAGAGATTTTTACAAAACCGCCACGTGCACAAGAGTTTAACGAAGCCTATTTTTTGTTTCCATCGTAGTTTCACCTCACCAGTTAGCGGAAGGACAATTGCCATAACCGAATGTAAGGCACGTCACCATTCATGGGACGACAAGATGCGCGACGTGGAAGTTCATGGTGACCAATGTGGTACGGATGGATTGAGGATGCCCCTGGTGTGGGAGATGGAAAGAGGGGCCTCTACGGGGACTCTGGGAGATAGGAGGGGAGAATGGAGGTCAACGATATGAGACTCAAAAGGCATGTGTGTGTATTGAACTTCGTTAAACATAAAAAGCAGTTTACCGCGTCATAGTAGTAGGCTTTGGCGACCAATGTTATCCAAAGAAAAGTTTTTTTTGCGTTACCTCGTGTAAATATAAGTGTGCCATTAAGACCGAAACAGGAAGACTTTTTCACAATTCTGGAAAATTGCCTGATGAAGCTGGTTGTAATCACCAGCGAAACGTCGAGCTCAAATTGTAAATGTTGTGGGTTCACTCTCCAACACACCGGTATGCTGAAGTAGTAATTGGCACGTTTTATTTACGTGACAAACCTCACTAATTGGCTATGGTGGGTTGAACGACACATTTATATTTACGTGATCTAACCCAACAAAAAAACCTTTATTATGGAACAAAAAGCAGCTAGAAAAAATTAAAGGATGAGGGGATAGGTGAGAAAGAGGAAAGAGCAGAACACCGCAAGTGTGACAGAGGGGATTGTGTGTCACTTGTGGTAGTTGCTCGGGCCCCCTTGTATTGCAAGCGTCCGAGAGCCTCTTGCACACGGGGCGGACATCAAGGAATGTGACACGGCCCTGGCTCTCTGCTTCACCGCTGCACCATGTGCTCAACTGCAGTTGCACGCTCACTTCCTGGGAGCGCGTCTCCGAGGGGCTGGTCCCGCATGGCGGCTGTGTTCTCATATCGGCTTGTTCGCCTGTGCCGCCTCAGATCACTTTAAAGTCATCCAGCAGCTCTGTCGCTAAATCCGCAAGCTGCTCGATGGGCGAGCAAACTGAGTCGAGTTTAACTTGAAGAAAAATCAAAAGACCAGGACGAGTCTCATTTGCAAGAGGAATATTAATAAAGTAAAGAATGGAGCAATATAACTTGCATCTAAGAGAGAAGGGGCAGTAGCTAGTTTATACGCTCTAAAGAGGATCAATCACCAATGAACATGCACCGACCAGTGTGGTGAAGTATGGTCAGAACCCCATGCTAGTGCCGAAACGGCATGGCGAAGCCTTCAACCAGCAGTAGATTGACAAAGGGCTGTAAGTTCCCACCATATTATTGTGTATCCCACACTTGTGGCTGTAAGATAGCCATTGCGACGCGTATCCTCATCCTCATGTTGTTGTCGTCATTCTCTGTCGACAGGCGGCTTCGACGGCTTTAGGAATGCGTACCCGCAGCACTGCGAGGCGAGCAACGTGTGCGCGCCCAGCTCCAAGTGTCCTTGCACTCCCGGCTTCCCCACAGCACTGAGCCTCAGCAGCCTCGCCATCAACTCCGATTCGTCCGACGGAGACTCCGACGTGGCCAGCGCGTCCGCCGAGGACTTGTCGTCATCCTCCTCCTCGCGGTTCTCATCCGAGGAGGGAAGCCCGGCCCCGCCGATGCAGTGCCCCATTCAGATCCTGCCCCACCTCTTCCTGGGCTGCGCGCAGGACTCGTCAAACATGGAGGCGCTGGCCCAGCACGGCATCCGCTACATCCTGAACGTGACACCCAATCTGCCCAACACCTTCGAGCGCATCGCCGACTTCAAATATAAGCAGATTCCCATTTCCGATCACTGGAACCAGAACCTGTCACAGTTCTTCCCAGAGGCCATCGCCTTCATTGGTGAGTGCATCTTCAACATCGGCCAACAGAAGGATAAGCTCGCGCATTTATCCATAATAAAGTTTTTTTTGGGTTAGATCGCGTAAATATATAAATGTGTTGTTAAACCCGCCACCACCTGACACAGCCAAGAAGTAAGGTTTGTCATGTAAGCAGAACATGCCAATTTGTTACTAGTACAGCACACCGGTGTGTTGAGAGCAATTCCACAACATTTACAATCTGAGTACGATGTTTTGCCAATAATTACAACAGTCATCATCAGGCGGCAGCCAGATTTGTGGAGAAACCCTCCTGTTTAATTCATTATTTATATTTACGCGACCTAACCCAAAACACCTGTATTATGGATGATATTGGTCGCAAAAGCTTACATGATAAACTGACGTGTATTTATCTTGGCGAATTCTATATTTAGCCAATGTTTACGCTTGTTAACTGAGGCGATGGTGTTGCGTTTCAAGGCATATGGTGCGCATCCGATATCTGCGCGGTGTGTGTGCTGCGTCGCTGTTCCGATATAACCGTGGTCTCTACGTGAGGCCCAGTCAAATAAGCCCGTGAGCGCAGTTGGAGGAAAACGATGTTCACATTTACTTTCTTACTCCTCTTGTCAGACGAGGCCCGGAACAAACAGTGTGGCGTGCTGGTCCATTGCCTGGCCGGCATCAGCAGGTCGGTGACGGTCACCGTGGCCTACCTCATGCAGAAGCTCAGCCTGCCCCTCAACGACGCCTACGACTTCGTGAAGCACAAGAAGTCCAACATATCGCCCAACTTCAACTTCATGGGGCAGCTGTTGGACTTCGAGCGCCGCCTTGGCCTTGGCAGTCCGGCGCCGTGCGACAACCGGCGCGGCCGCGAGCTCCGTCTCTTCTTTACGACGCCCGCCAGTCACAATGCTTTCGGTCTGGTGGAGGCCATCGAGTCCACGTGAGGCCCCAGGGCGGGACTCGGCTCACTGCGGGGATTTCTTGAAATCCGATCGCCGCCGCCATCGTCATCGCCGCTTAATTGTGCCGAGCGTCACCAAGTGCTCGGTCTTCGAGGCGGGATGGTGGCCGTGTGGCGGCGTTTGGCTAGAAGCACAATGAGCGCTTGATTGAATGGTTAACTTCAAAGGGTCTGATCTCTGAATAGTCAAAAGTGGTTTAATTTTGAAGGTGTGGCCATCTGAATGACAGCTTTTTAGGTCATTTGATGTACCGTTGTCAGATTCGTGTAAATTGAACAGCCAGAAATCTGGAATAGATGTTATTTTTTGAAGACAACTGTTTAAAATGGATACTTAAGGGTTTTGTGAAGAAAGACATTGAAACATGTTTTAATCTGTAAATACTTTTGGATTGTATCACCACTCTCATATTCCCTGTGTGACAGCCAACATCTCGTACGGTGAACAAACGTCCTTTTCGGCAGTCCCACGGTCGGCAGAGCCTCAGGTCGGGGAGCAGCCCCCGGGAGATGAGAAACCACTGCTCACCGCGTCTGCTCAACCAGGCCCCCATTGACCTAACTCTACCGTACTGTGGTGCGTCTCTATGACCCGGCGTTGGTCGAGGTGTAAACCTGTTGACCGGTCACAAAAGTGTAGCTGCGTGGATCATACCGTGCCTGGCTCGGTGGCTGGTGGTGGCGATCGCTCCAAGAGGCACCTCTGAAACGAAACCGACGCTGTGCAAGTCGACTCTTCATCGGGGCGATCTTCACCCCTTAACCCTGCAAGAGGCGTGCTGTGAAAAGCCACACAGAATGTTTTGCAAACCGTTATTGCCATACGTAAGCGTGTTAGTTTCGTGACTTTGTATATGGGGCTGCCCAAACATTGGGACTCCGACATAGAAATGAAGCTTTGTTTTTCTGCATGAGACCTCCTGTGTCGTCGGGATGCAGCTCCGTGTTTTCATGTTTGCAGCTGCAACTCCGCTTTTAAAGGCGATCGCGCGCTCACACATTTCCCTAAACATCGGGGACATTTGTACAGAGGTGAAATCAAAGATGTATATCTTGTACAAATAAAACATATTTTGAGTATAAATAAAATCGGCCGTCTTTCTGAATGATCCTTTGAAGGTCCCCGTTCTCCACAGTGGGAAAAAGCGTAGCCGGCTCATTGTTTGCACAGGGCGACCAAGGGTGAAGTTTGGCCGCGTCGGGTTGAGGTGGGGTGTACGACACATTTACAGAATCAGAATATTTATTTTACATTCACACGATCTCACTCAAAAAAACACGTGAAAAACACTCCATCGTGAATTAGGTGTCTCGTGCCCAAATAGGGATACCCTCAGCATGCGTTTGCCCCGTGCAAGGAGTCACGGGAACAGAACCTAAATGGCGATCTCTCGATTCTAAGCTCGACCCCACGACACCTCCACAGCGCAACGCTCGGGGGCTCGCCGGGCTACAGCGCCACAGATCAGCGGCGTCACCTTGGGGGGCTCGCTGGGCCACAGCGCCACAGATCAGCGGCGTCACCTTGGGGGGCTCGCCGGGCCACAGCGCCACAGATCAGCGGCGTCACCTTGGGGGGCTCGCCAGTCCACAGCGCCACAGATCAGCGACGTCACCTTGGGGGGCTCGCCGGGCCACAGCGCCACAGATCAGCGGCGTCACCTTGGGGGGCTCGCCGGGCTACAGCGCCACAGATCAGCGGCGTCACCTTGGGGGGCTCGCTGGGCCACAGCGCCACAGATCAGCGGCGTCACCTTGGGGGGCTCGCCGGGCCACAGCGCCACAGATCAGCGGCGTCACCTTGGGGGGCTCGCTGGGCCACAGCGCCACAGATCAGCGGCGTCACCTTGGGGGGCTCGCCAGGCCACAGCGCCAGGGACGTGCACGCAGGGCAGCATCACCTCGCGTCCCCAGGGACCAGAGTCCAACTCGCGTTACCCACCGCGGTTCACCGACTCAATGCTGCACCTTCGTGTTTGTTCTGCGATGCGGCCGTCGCAACCGCCAAAGGCGCTGTTAGGCAACGTCATTGTCAGGGTGGACAGCGGCAGCAGCAGCACAATTGAGGTTCACGCACTGCGACCATGAGAGATGCGGCGGTCGGGAGTCGGTGCACTTTGAGTTCGCTGCAGCGGCCAAGTGTAAATATATACGGTGCGCTTGAGTGCACTTTAAAAAGACACAAACGGACACAGTTGCTGGGCAAAGGAACCCAGAATATCAAAGCGGCCAGCAGCAAACAGAAAACGCTAAAATTAGTCGTAATAGATAAGCGTTTAAAATGTTTATTTAATTGGGAGTGGTTATTGTAAGGGCTTGGAAAAAGAGACGGGTGGGGAAGTGAATGTGAATTGAATATTTAAAAGTGAAATTGTCTCAAAAGCACGCCGAAGCAAATTTCCATTTCGCACATCTGCTGGGGCCGGTGAGTGCGACATTCACCGGCTAAACTATGGCACTCGCGCGTCATGAACTGACACACGTGTACGTGGTGGCACACATTTACACCGTGACACTCTCCCCGCGTGAACTGTGACACTGTCCCCTTGTGAACTGTGACACTGTCCCCGTGTGAACTGTGACACTGTCCCCGTGTGAACTGTGACACTGTCCCCGTGTGAACTGTGACACTCTACCCACGTGAACTGTGACACTGTCCCCGTGTGAACTGTGTCACTCTGCCCACGTGAACTGTGACACTCTGCCCGTGTGAACTGTGACACTCTCTACCCGTGTGAACTGTGACACTCTGCCCACGTGAACTGTGACACTCTCCCCGTGTTAACTCAGCGTAGAGAGGGGTGACCTTTCACATTACACTGATTGCCGTGTTGCAAAAAGAGTTGCGATTGAGTAAAAGACACGAAAGACACAAAACCCCCAATATTTTTTAATGTCTGAGACCATATAAGCGGCTGTAGTCATAAAACAGAGGGTTTCATCCACCAGTGGAAGCGCACGGCTGTTACAAATGTGTATCGTCACGAGCCACGAGAGAACAAGAGGTGACTCCTGTCAACTCTCCATGGTCACACTTTTTCAGTATCAGAATTCCTTTCTCAGATGTCCAGTAGTTATGTCATTGTTTTGTGGTTCTTGTTGTCCAGGCGCAGAGCCGCTTTTACTGCCCGACGTTCCGAGTTCAATTCGTGTGCCTCGGTGAGAGCCTAAGACGCCAGGATGGAGTCTCATTTGCAAGAGTGACAAACCTGAGGTGACCAAAATGACAAAAAAATCGGAGCACCTCCGAGAAGCACAGTTGCCTACGTAGGGTGAGAAAGAAGTTCAACATACGTACAAAAGCCACCGCATCACGAGGCACTGGAAAACGTCGTACACGCGAATTCCGTACACTCGTCATTCCCTGCAGCGCAAATCGGTCCGGGGCACATTTACCTCCCGATTGGAAATGGCGCATCTAAGAAAACCGAGCTAACAGAAACATTAAACAGATATAGGGTGCAGACTATAGCACTCTGCCGCTCCGTACACTGACAGGGTGCACAGTGTGCCAACCGCCCACGGCTTAACAACACCGAGGCGCAGTGCGTTGGCTGCTGAGTGAACCGCGCAGCGTCCCCTGTGCCTGGCCGCTGAGACGCCCGGTCCGACTGATGGGTGACCGGGCGGTGGCGGTGGCCTTCCGGCTCCTCCTGCTCCTCCTCCTTCTCGGCTGCGACGCGCATCCATCTCTGACAAATCTGCAGAATTCCAGGAAAGCCTTTGGATCCACTGACCCCCCTCCCACTCCCACCACGCATAAGTGGAGTTCCAAACAAGAGGATTATGCATTAGACACGCTCTGATGAAGAGTGAATGGCTGCGATGGTTGAGGTTCGTTGTTCGGGTCCAGCAGGCCGCCCCAGTAAATACCGCCGGTGTGTTAACCCTAAAACACCACGCGCCGTCTGCCCCACGGCGGGCGTTGGCGCTCCCCTGGTGCCGGCGTCACGGGTCAAGTTTGCCAAATTAGAAAAATTACCTCTGCAGATCACTCAGTTTGGATGACAGGGCAGGGCAGTAGCAGCAGCAAGGGCCGCCCTATGCTGTGAAACTACTGCAGGCGGTGTCGGTACAACACGGCGCCTCCGTAATGATAGCCTCGCCGCAAAAGCATTACGCGAATACCAAACATGCTAAATTGTGATCATTATATTGGACCGGTCTCTTTCTTGCTGATATTGAGACTTTGAAAGAAACAAATGGCGGCGCTGGCAACATCGCAAACGCTCCAAATCACCACGTAGTGCTTTAGTTACTCGCGCGTAATGATTTATCAGGAGTAACACAGACGCATGTGGTTATGGTGGCGTTAATAAACAACAGGAGCCTCGAGTTACATATTCTTATCCGCGGCACAAGTTCAATGTTAAGTTGCGCACGTTCGTGACGAAAGGTGTCTGCCAAAAATCGATGTCTCCGTGCCATCCTCGACCTGAGCCCACTTCTGTGATGCTGTCCGTTCTGATGCCTTGCCGAGAAAAGCGGCATCGACGGAGACTTTATTCGCCGTCGTGCAAAATAACCCCGTGCCACGATTAGGAAATTCATCGCGAACGAAATCAGAGAACACAGAAACATCAGAGAGACGACAATCGGGGAGCATCGCAATCAGCAGAGAGGAGTTTGATGATTGCCAATTCGCATAAAAAAATCGCTGGGGGAGAAAGATTAAACCATAACTTAAAATTGAGTGCAAGATTTGTATGCCAATCTCCAGAGCAAATATTAATCTTCAGGATACATTTTTATTTGGGTGAAAATAAAAAAACACGAGGTGTGACAATTGAATAAATATTTACGGTAGGGGGAGGGGGCGCGGGGGGGGGGCGTTTCACCAGCTTGGTCTTTAACTCACGAGTCACAAAGAGGCGATTTACTTCTTCGTAATTTTTTGTTTACAACAAAAATCTCCGAGTACGCCTCCAGCGTCCACGCTCGTTAAAAACCCCAGAGGGCGGTGCGTTGTGGTGGGGATGGACGGAGGGGAGCTCCTGGAATAGCTCCGAGGCAGCGAGCGAGCTATCTTTACCGGCGACAGCTGCATCGGGAAGACCGCAGCCCCCCGCAGCTCGACTGCACCACCACCCCCCAACCCCCAACTCCTCCTCGTCGAGCAAGGGCTCATCCCACATCATCATCGCAACACGCAAAAACGACGACAATAGACTGCTGGGGCAAGTGCTGTTAGTAGCACCACGGCCGGCCGCCCCTATGTTCCCCCAGTCGCGATGTTTACACACCGCACCGGAAACTCTTTGAGGCTGAGTCGACTTAGGAGAGGCCCAGAACCGGTTTACATTGTCACCGGTGTTGGCTTGACGGTATCGCAGCGCAGCTCGCTTAGCGCTACACTACCGCCTCCCACGCGCACTCACACACCTGCGCTCACATACACCTCCACTCACACACCTGCACTCACACACATCCACTCACACACATCCACTCACACACCTCGACTGACACACACCTTCACTCACACACCTCGACTCACACACCTCCACTCACACACATCCACTCACACACACCTTCACTCACACACCTTCACTCACACACATCCACTCACACACCTGCACTCACAAACCTCGACTCACACACCTCCACTCACACACACCTCCACTCACACACCTCGACTCACACCCCTCGACTCACACACATCCACTCACACACCTCCACTCACACACATCCACTCACACACACCTTCACTCACACACCTTCACTCACACACATCCACTCACACACCTGCACTCACAAACCTCGACTCACACACCTCCACTCACACACACCTCCACTCACACACACCTTCACTCACACACCTTCACTCACACACCTGCACTCACACACACATCCACTCACACACACCTCCACTCACACACACCTCCACTCACACACATCCACTCACACACCTCGACTCACACACACCTTCACTCACACACATCCACTCACACACCTCGACTCACACACCTCCACTCACACACCTGCACTCACACACCTGCACTCACACACCTCCACTCACACACCTCCACTCACACACACCTCCACTCACACCTCCACTCACACACATCCACTCACACACCTGCACTCACAAA